AGTTTGTTTTTTGAATACCTTATTTCTTCTCGTGTTTATTATAATTGGCTGCTTAAGAATGTTTATTTCTTTTTCGAGCCAGTCTTCGTGCGGAAGAGAAAAATGCTCTTGTCTGTACTTATTATGTATAGTCCTATAGGCTGTTTCCGAATTTTATTTTTTGTTTCACAGAAGGGTTTTGGAACCTTTTGTTTTATTACTGCGAAAAGAAGTGAGAGAAACAATTTTTTGTCTAGTCAGAAAGGCTGCATGAACATTGCATTCAACGTTTTCTTTGTATTTTTCTATGTTGTTGTGAAGCTGTGTAACGCTTTTGTAAGAAATAAAAACAAAATTGATCTGCTTCGGTCCTTGCTTTCTCGGGAAGAGAGCCGACATACCTTGAAGTTGAGGGCGGTAGATGCCTTCTATTCTTTTCTGAAAAGTTAGACCTTACGGAGTTATGTTTAGCGCATTCAGCTTTAGTCCAGTTCATGACTATGTGTAAAATACACACATAGTGACTGAAGAAAAGTCTTCCTACACCCATCTTATCAAAATAAGAAAAATTTCTGCAACACAAAACAGGTTCCTCGATTTTCTCAGCAAATGAGAGGATCCTATACAAATAATCAGAGTAGCTACAAAAAAAACTTCGGTCAAATCGAAACGTTCGAGACTCGAGACTACAGTATCGAGGCTTCTCGATACTTCTCGTCTCAGTGCATGCCTAATACAATAACATAATAATTTTTTTAGAGACTTAAATTCTCTACAAACCTGGTATTTAAAGCTCTGATAGCATTTTTCTCGTTTGAGCACCATTCAATGCTTTTATCGTCTTCTTTTCTTGAGATTTTTCGACCATTGTCTGAGGTTCAATATTCAATTTTTCTACATAGATAGATGGATCGATCTCACTCATTTACAACTGCACACAATGTTTCTGCTACGTGAATCATAATTAGTTCTCAATCGGCTTTTCAATGTTTTCAAATTGAATTAGTTTTTTTAGTTAATGGTTTCAACTGAGAAACTTTGTCTATATATCAAATGATGCAGAATTTAATTCTGTGTAAGATAATAAGACTAAAACCCTGGATTCAGAACGTTTTACTGCTTTTACAGTTAAAAAACTAAAATTTGTGAGAAATAGGTTCAAAAGTTAGGTTGTTTTAGATTTATCAGCTTTTTGCACAGAGAAATTTTTCTAGAAGACTTAACTACAAAATTTCGAAAACTATGTGAGAAGCTGCAGAATTTTGGTGAGCCTTCTGATATTTTCAAAATTCTTATGGAATGTATTTTTGGATCAGGGCAAATATTTTTCTATTTCTAGTGTGTCGCAGTTCGATAACTCAGCAAAATATTGAATGGTGCTCAAACGAGAAAAATGCTATCAGAGATTTAAATACTAGATTTGTAGAGAATTTAAGTCTCTATCAAATGAGACTAAAACCAGATTTTTGGGTCACTCGGAAGTGTTCCAAAAACCGCAATCAAAGACTGCAGGTGTCGTTTGGACCACCTTGTATATATTTATGTATTCTCGTGTACTATGAACCAGAATACACCACCTTTTATGTCGGTTCTACTCTTGTTTGTTTATGTGTGTTCCACTGAAGAAGGCTTGTAGAAAACCGCTTGGATAAAAATGTATTAATTTTATAGAAATAAAGCATTTCATAGCCCTTATACTCCTATTCCGTATTAGGATAGCTCTGTCACAATAATAGATTCATCTCTTGCTAACTGTATCTCAAATGAGAAAAGAATATTTCTTACGCTTAAGATAGCTGCTTCTTTAGCTCTTATTGAACCATACTGTAGAACGTTTTCACTTAAGATATCATATATCATTCAAAACAGTACTCATTAATTCATTCTTTTATTAAACATGCTATGTCAGTTATTAATAATAAAACTATAAATTGTATAACTCGTTAGCCTGACGGAATACAATAGAATCACTTGAAAACTTTGTAGAAGTTGTAATGTTTCTTATGACTTTCTTAGTCCATTCTAGCGGATTCTAGAAAAAACAAAGTACAAGACACACATAATACAAGCTTAACAATTCTCGCTTCATATATATATTACTTTAAATAGTTGTGAAACTTTTTCTTGAGTTTGAATATAACTTTCATAATCAGCTAATATCATATACCTGAAATTGAATTTCGTATATTTGATATAAAGTTGAATGAAGTTCATAGAGATGAATCTTATAACGTTTATATGTATAGAAACAGATTTCTGATAACTCCGTTCCCTCTCGCTTGTCATGTCCAGTCCTCCACATCTTTATGGCACTATAGTCTTCGTTCTTATCTAATACTTACTTGTCATTATCATCATGTAAATATTCACATAAATCTGTACAATTATTAGAATAAAATCCATTTTTAATTTGTAGGATAGCTTCTTGAAGGTCAAAATTATTTTGGACGATTGCTTGTTTTGTATACGAACTAAAAAACAATTTCATGGTTTTTCAAATTACTCGTTTTCTTACTTTCCACTTACTATTTGCTGATGGATGAATCTTTTTTCTTCTTCATACCAAAAATAAACATATTCGATTGTCCGATTTCTCTAACTAAATCAATTGTTGATGCATTAATCGTGCATACAGTGAGTGCTCCATTTATCTTTGAATCAGAATAAACAATAGGAAAAAATGAAAGAAACAACATATAAGGGACTACCACAAGTGCTCATTAACCACGTATATAAAACATACAAGAAATTTAATATTGTCACTTTCTACAATGTCTGATTCACTACACAATAAATCCTCATTCAGATCTGCAGCAGGAATTATCTTTTCAGCTAAAACAAAGAAAGAAACTATTGAACGAGAGAATTCGTGTTGTTACAACAAAAGAAAGAGTACATGCATAACGTAAGCAAAATATTAAACCATCGAATGAATCAATCATTCTCTTAAAAGGACTGGGCACGGTTTCTGCAAAAAAAAGGCCCTATATATTTTTGAGAAGATAAAGACTGAAACTAATCAGAAACCGTTTGTTATTTAGTTTTTAATATTTCTGCGTCTTAAAAGTTGATTGTAGACTACTATGTATTGGAACATCGGCATGCAGTAAACCCTCCGCCCCACCTAGTCTTCTATTTTGTCCCGCAAGTCGAGTTCTAAAGGGTGGTCTTCTATTGCCGTTATATTTTGTCTCTTGCTAGTGGTCCAACGGTAACTTCCACGCACTTGAAGTCCATCCCCTATCAGAAGTACATTTTGGCGTAATTTTTTTGATAAAAACGGCATTTTCCGATTTTTTTGGCGGACATAATAGAAGACCAGTGGTCTTCTAGAGGTTAGAATACCATGGTCTTCTATTTGGCTTCCAAATCATATAACCGGCAGTGGTCTTCTAATAGGGGATGGTCTTCTAGTATTTTTAGTCTACAATCAACTCTTAAGACGCAAAAATATTAAAAGCTAAATAATAAACGGTTTCTGATCAGTTCCAGTATCTTCAAAAATATATAGGGTGATTTTCTTGCGGAAACCGTCCCCCGTCGTTTCCCTTTACTTAAAATTGCAGATTTGTTTTGACGAACTTAAGCATTATTCGCTCGGAATACAAGCGAAAATAAATTCCTTATAATACTCTGAAATTGAAATTGCCGAACAAACACAAAACGAAATTTTGTATGAATACGGACTCGAACATATGAGCTTAGATTTGCAATAAACTGTAAAACTAAATTCACTGTTACTTTGAAGTTGTAGAATTGATCCGATGTTACCAGTGTCAGCTATTTCTTGGTTTGATGTTTTGTGTTTGTTTCGACAAGAAAATCAAAACTCTTTTACATTACCTAGATCAATGCAATAGTTTTCAATAAAAACAATTTTTAAATATTTGTTAACAGTATTATCATTGTTAATTATTTCGCCAATATTATGTATTAAATTAAGTACTTGGTTTCCAAATACATCATTAGGTAGTACCTATTATTACAAATTGTATTAGAAAACAAAAACCAAGAAGTTAAAAATTACATATCTCATCTCTTTGTTCTCAGAATACTAATAAAAGTATATTTGCCCTGAAGAATACTGACTGTATTACCAATACGCGCATCAGAAAAACACATAATATGAGCCAAATTTATTTTCCGATCCAACTGTGTCCGTTTGATTCTTCGTCTAATGCTACGTATAAATCTAAGGTTTTAGATCTTAGTAACGTTTCGTCAATGCGTTATGAATTCTTTTTCTAAACATTTTTCCTGCATAGTGGCATATTCTCCTATCTTAGTTTTTGTGCGTCTCGACGTTCTTTGGTCAGGACAAATGTCAGTCGAACGGGCGAAAAAACTGGACAGGATATGCTATTTTCTAATGCTCAGAACTCAAAATTTAAATTGGAAAAAGTTCAAATCAGTTAAGTTTTCCAAACCTTAGAAAATAAGTTTTGTATTAGAAAAGAAACTGAAGCAGCCACGTCTAGGCATGCATCGGTTTCGGTTTTTAACCGATTAACCGAAACCGATCATAACCGAAAATGTTGCACCAGTTCTCGAAAATATGTTTGATAGAATACGAAGAAAGCATCTGTTGTTCACCTAACAACTGTCCATCCCGGAAGAAAGATGCACGGCGTGCAAAATCAGAAATAAGAGAAATAAGTGGTATTTGTGACTTTTCACCGTGAAGGAAGAGTTTCACAAAATTGAGTTTAGCAACAAAAGTATGGCAAATTGAATTTCCCAGATTTTATCTGCTGGTCGCACCTTTATACAAATCCATCTTCACGATGAAAAGCAGTAAATATCAGTTTTCACCATGAAGATCGACTTATATAAAGGTACACTCAGCAAATGAAATCTAGGAAATTGAATTTGCCATACTTTTGTTGCTAAACTCAGTTTTATGAAACTCTTCCTTCACGGTGAAAAGTCACAAATACCACTTATTTCTCTTATTTCTGATTTTGCACACCGTGCATCTTTCTTCCGGGATGAACAGTTGTTAGGTGAACAACAGATGCTTTCTTCGTATTCTGTCAAACATATTTTCGAGAACTGGTGCAACATTTTCGGTTATGATCGGTTTCGCTTAACCGAAATCGGTGCATGCCTAGCCACGTCAAGTAGGACTAAAAGCAATTTTGAAGCATCTTGTAGAGCAGATAATTGTCTACAAAACGCACTATTCTGCATTGAAAAGTAGCCCCTAGAGAGTGTGCAAAAACGAGCTACGCGAACGACGAATAGCAAAACATGGAGAATCGAGAGATACGCCAATATGACTTTCACCAATTGGTGAAAGTACACTGAATTTTCACCAATACAATCCATCAACTTTTGCAAATAATTCAGTTGCATTGTCTCTTAATGCACGTTATAATTCTTTTTAAAGGAAAAAAAAGACGTAACTTGCATTTAGAGACAATATAACTGAAGTCATAATTGACGTAAGTCAAGTGGACCTTAATTGACGAATGCCTAGTTGGCAAAAGTCATATCGGCGTACCTCCAGGAGTCCAAAACATGAGCGAAAATTTTCTACTGAATTTCGTCTATAGTTAAGCGACTCACATTTTTAAGCTGACCACGAACACGCTGTTTACTTGTACTGAAAACAGCATCATGATGACGAAAAGTTGCAATCAAGAAAAATGTTTAGTCCTTTCTTTAAAATACTCATAACGTATCAACCGAACCGAGGCCAATGGTAAAAAAAGAATTTTTCTGGTTTTCCTCTTCCTTACAAGAAAATGCGTTTGGAGACTTTTTCTGCACCTGACGAATACTTATGGTAGAAACTGTACATACTTTCCCACCAAATATAAATGTTTTGGGGATACTATTGTGGTCTTGATA